ATACAGGGCGTAATGATTAAGATGTTGGGACATTAAAACTACTCATCAGATATGTGTATTTTATTTTTCTTGATCTATTAAGCTATAAGAACTTACATGTAGTATAAGTTATAGTATAAAAAAAACTATAAATACGCACATAACTCCTCCTATAAAATGAAAATCCAGAGCCCCAAGTTCCCGTAGTATAAAGCTAATACCACATTTCATACAGAGCTAAACTCATCCTTACTATACAAGTGAACTCAGTATTAAGAGAAACCTGACACAAGTCAAGTTGAAAGCCATAAGAAAAAGCTTTGTGGGATATTCCAGCCTGAAGTCACTATGGAAAATCTAAAAGTAATAAATACCAAGAAAGCAGAAGGCAGACCTGGTTGCTTAAAAGCTAATATATTATTAGCTCTATAAAGAGGCAAGTTCGTCAGACTGGGTTGACCCTCCACTAAGTCAGTAGGAGGTAGAGAATAATTCCTAGAGGTCAGTGATTGTACAATACTAACTGATGGATGAGGGCTAGGGTTGTGTCTCCCAGGAGAATAAGGAGGAAAAATAAGTGGTCAAGGCTAGCCTTATTCTGCTAGGAAGAGGATAGTAGTAAGATACCAGCTGGAGAAAAGTACAGCAGGATGCTTGCTAGAGAAGGAGGATGAGGTAGTAGGATATCAGCAAATTAAAGTCAAGGAGGAAGGACAGGAGGGGTAGATCCAAATTTTGAAACAACTATAAGAAACTGTTCATGTCTTATCTAGTCAGCCTTCTTAAGCTCCTAATGCCCCCCAAGTGTAATTCTGCATCTCTCCGGTAGTTCCTTATCATGATAGAGGTAGCATTATTTAGAAGATGAGATACTATCACCTGTAGAGGGCAGAGAGAAGGAGGGTAGTGAAATCAACCATAGCCTATTGAGAAGGCCCAAGCAACTTCAAGGAGAAGCAGGAGGAATTCATCGCAATCATGTACTATAAACTGTGTTCCCTCTAGGTTTAAGTCATAAATTATCAGTCAGCACATTAAAGTATTGAGGCAGGAATCTGGTATCAAGGTCAGCACTGTGACAGGATACAACACACACTGTAATACCTTAGATAATTGTGTTAGGTTGACTTCTTTACACTATCAGATACCTGTTACCAAAGTAGAACCAGGTCACAAAGTCCCAGGTTATATGCCAATGATATCTGAAAGCAATGTAGCACTACAGTCAATACTTTGCTGGTATACAAAATTTGCCATAGCGCTATTATTAATAGTATTGGTAAGACATTTTTAAACTTATTGAATGGCTGGCATCCAGTATGTCAAGGTCACAAAGCATCAGCCTGTAAATTAAAGTATTCAGGCACTAATCTGGCATCAAATTCGGGATCATGCCCAGACACAAAATATGGGGCAACACTATGGAAAATATTGTTGGAACATAGATCTTTATACTATTGGAAAACTTGCATTAAGAAGATTTAGGTTCTAAATAATTAGTCTGTACATTAAGATAGTCAGGCAAGAGTCTGGCCCTAAAGTGAGTAGCTTGTTAGACTACAAATAGGCTATAACTATACAAATACTAGTATTGGAAAGATATTCTTGATACCATTGGAAGGCTGGCATAAAGTAGGTCTAGGTTACAATACATCAGCCTGTACCTCAGGGGATTTAGAAACAAATCTGTATCATAGTCAATGCTTTATTAAAATACAAAAATAGGTTGTAACTCCACAGATATTATGGTTGAGGAGTCCCCCTTTATATTATTGGAAAGTTGGCATCAAGTGGGTCGAGGTTCCAAGGTACTAGCCTGTGTATCAAAGTAGTTAGGAAGGAATCTGGTATCAATGCCAGCTCTTCATCATAATACAAAATAGTTTATAATTTCTTTGAACCTCATACTAGGCAGATATTCTTTTCTTTATTGGAAAGTTGACATTGAGTAGAATGTTGTTCCCAATTATTAGCTTTAATAGTATAAGAGCCGATGAGGAATAGTAGTTAACAAACCTGCTTTTGATGTTCTGACCATAATATTGTGTAGTTGCTCTTATGAGAAACATGTTTTAGAAAAAATCAACAAACTACTGAAATTACCACTTGTTTTATCAATCACAACTATCACTCACTTTTACCTTCTAAAAGTAGGCCATTTTACCTCCCAAATTCATTAACAGTCTAAAATAGAATGTAGTACTATGCATCATCTATTTCTGCATATGGTTTAGATTTAGTCAGAGTGTACTATTGATATACTGATGGCTGGTATATGGCATAATATTAGAATCAATACTGGCTACAGGCCTGTATCTGGATGTTAAGAAGGATCCTGATTATCCAAGTCAAATCTAAAGCTGAAAATTAGTACGTGCTTGCTTAGGATATACTTTGGAGGTGCAGGATACAACTGAATACTTCTGATGCCAAGGACACTTGAGATGCAGGTAACTCAATATTTGCATCAGGATATTATTAGACTAAATCAAACACAATTATACATCAAGAAGACTTAGGTCAGAATCTTCAATATAGATAGTGATTGTTTTTGAAGCCTCAATAATGTACTTTTCATTTATAATTACTAAGACCTTGCTCAAGATAACAGTAAAAATATCATATTAAAGATTAGTTTGGAGATCAATTTTACATTGTTAAGATCTCTTTCCTGTTGCTTGATAATATCCATAAAGCTTAGGAGGTACTTCAATATTCATATCCCCTATCTGAGTATTTGCAGACTACTTCCAACTACTATACAACTAAGTACCTCTTCCTATTTTATATGCAATCATTCTCTGTATTAACAAGTGCAAACTCTGTTTAATTTGAAATTCTTTCATATCACCTTCAGGCCTGATTTAATAAAATCAATACCTTTAGAGAATCTGGTTTTTTCTTCCAACTAGTATTCTCTGATTCTTAAAGTGGAATAGACATTTTTCCTGAAACCTTAGTATAATTGACAATCGTTTCAATAGTTTCTTCCAAATTGATATGGCTGTCAACTTCTATGTCGGATATATTTACATAATGCAGGTTTCATAGACAGCACACTAATAGTTTATATCTATCACTTATGAGGTCTTCCAAGTCTGAGTAGCTTCTACTCGGACCACCTCACCTCCAATAAAACTAACCCTGGAAGGATACTGTTTCTTAAATTAATCAATATACAGTAGATTATTGATAGGTATTAGTGTCTGATCTCTCTCCTCCCTTCTCTGAGGCACTGTAGGAGTTATTGTGGATTATGATAATAAAAATGTCTCATTACTTTCAGCTTGTTATTAGGACACCTCACTTTAAAGACTAATAACTCAATGCACCTTAAACAGATTTCTTCTATTTCACTTCACAGAGGTATTCAGAGGTTTTTTCTTATATATCCTGCAACCAGCCTCAAGTTAGATGGGTAGCAGCAACATGTATAGTATTATGAAGTGGACTTTATTGACATCACAGTATAGTCATGGGGTGCAATGTTTTGAAATCTTACTAAATACATGTGGGCCTTGAATTAGGGCAGGAGAGTAGAGTTGGGAACTCCGATAAATAAGGTTCTGTGTACAGTTACTTGACTGTACTGTCTGTGTACTCCTATATGCCTAACTGATATACTACTGATATGTTTCAAGCAGAGTTTTTTTGCTGATTTTGATAATATAATATCATAGATCTATGCATATTCTCATAAGTAGAGGTTTAATTAAGTTAGATAACAATCAATTCCTAAAGTAGTCAAGCTTTCTCATTTATCAGGGTCACTTTGCTTTTGGCGAAGTATGGTATTGATTTCTGCTATAGTTTAAAGGGGCCTCAGGTAGGTCCTGAAAACAGGTGGAGTTCAATGTTGAACTAGTTAATCAAAACAACAAATATGGAAGAAAAAAAGTGCTGTGATGAAGCTTCTTCTAAGGAGAACAAACAAGCACTTTTTTCAAGTAGTTTAGAAACAAAAAGTGAAAATTTTGGTGGTAGTGAAACTAGTGATAGAATATACTGAGTAGCATGCTAAGAAATACATGGATGATAAATGACAAAGGTAGGATAATAATTGATAAGAAATAAATTATGAGTGTAATACAGTATAACATGCCTATTACTCGTCTCGTCTTGGCGATTTCCAGCTCAACTCTGATCGGTTGCAACGGGATTGCTGTTTCACCGGAGGACCCACCTTTAAGCACTTTGCACCGTTGTTACCTCACACGAGATCTGTTATTTAGTAACAAGATACTTGGCGCCAAGTCCCGAGCGGAATCCCGTCATGTAAGGTTTCCCCATTGGATACGATAGGCCCTGTTTGGATTCAATGGTTCCGTTCCGTTTTGCAACTGTTTCTCATATAAAAATGATTGTCCTTCCGTTCCGAAACGGTCGCTTTGTATGAGGGAAAGGAAGGGAACAGTTGCATCAAAACAGGGGTTTAGGTCATTTGATAGAGCCGCGCAACGTCTTCAGTTCTAAATCCAGCAGCTTGATGGATGTGATAACATCTGATGAAGGCAGAAATCACATACATTATATCTGATTTACATTTTAGCACCCCGGGAATTCTATTATAATACCCTCTCCAGAGGCTATTCCCAATTTGGGAATTTCGGATCTGGTGAGCCGTGAGCATACGTTTTATTCCGGCACAATATCATTATTCTTTCAGGATTTAAAATATTCTGAACCCAAACAAGACGATATCGAGTGACGAAAGTCGATATTTTCAGCAGAAATGTTACAGGGGATAGTCCTATATATGGGGATCGGGGTTAATTGGTACTGAAGCCGGATCGGCGTGTTGTTACACTGGGGAGTACGATTTCCCTTGTTGGGGAGTATTTATTGGAGACTGGGTGACGAAGCATGGTAGGATTTTTGCCAATTTCTTACCTATGATGCTGGCTCGGGTCTGCTTGGATATTTGACAATTGGGGGACTCAATCGTACAAGAAAACGAAGCAGGGATAGGAGCGAGCATCATTTGTCAATCGATGAGCCCTAATATGCCGCCAAATGTCAAGCCAGTTTGGAATTCCCATGATGTAAAACCAATATGTATACTCGAGTAGTAGCTTCGGAACCCACCCATCTCACATTCCGAAGACACCAATCCTTTGATTCACTAAGATCGAACGTTCTGAGACCACCACTCCCCCCACTCCAACATCTGCCTACTAACCCTCGCCTCCTCAGCCCAGAACACAGCAGCATGGCTCCTTAAAATCTCCTCAATTGTAACACCAATAACCTCTTCCTGCGCCTTATCCACTGCCCATTCTTCATTCTTCACCCTGCCAATGGCATCCACAAACGCTCTCACTAGCCCACTGTCACCGCCACCATGACCGCTCACCATGTCCAGGTTAGGCATCCAAGTCTTTTTCACACCGGTCTCGAAATCGTATATCTTGATCTGATTGCTATCGGCTTCAAGTTCGCCTTTAGTTCCGTAGATCCTAGTGAAGCGCTCGCAGATCTTCTCCGAGAATGCTACCATAGTTAGGGTAGCGGTTTTTGCCCCGCGACCTCCTGCTGGGGTGTTAGAGGGTGAGGCAGAAGTATCGTCGTCCCAGGATATGGTTACAACTTGGTTGTCCACGACATTGTTGTCAGCCTCATATACGCATCTCCCGTAGTAGCTCTTCTGCTCGCCATCAACCATAGTGCCTTCGCTTCCGTAATCTTCGCCCAACTTTAGTGATAGCATAGCTTCGGCGGCACCCATGTTGTTCGCTTCCTCGATATCTGGCACCACGATCTTCACAGGCCAGCCTAAGTTCATCTTTTTGAGGTTCTTCTCTACGTAGATTTTTTTCGCTGAGAATATGCAGTCTAGGTCAGCAGGGCAAGAGAGGCAGTTGGTTGCATTGCCAGCCTTCGCAGGTTTCTGGGTGCGTCGGAAGTGCACCAGCGAACCTGAGGACGATACAGTAGATGGTAGGTGAGGGGCGGCGGCAGTCGTGGGAGAGCACAGAAGCCAGAGAAGTAGGTCGATGTCGTGACAACATTTCGTCAGTAGTGATGGAGCAGCAGTTTCCTTTCTACGCCAGTTACCTCTGTAAAGGTCAGCCTAACCCAAGCAACGAAGAGAGGGATAATACCTAACATAACTATGAGCAAAATGGTACCACCCCACCGGTTCGGTATGGTTAACGTTAACTATCTCCCCGAGGGCCTTATCCTCACAGACGAGCTTCTTCATAAGTATGTTATGCGGCGAATACCGTAACACATGCCCAACCGCCAGCAAAACGGGAGGTAGGTCCGGATCAGAAATGGTGTCGGCTATTCGAACACAGGACTCGAGCGTGGTTCCAAGCGGCTTCTCGCACAGGATATGCAAGTTCAGCGGTCGAATGGCGAGCACAATCTACACCAGTCCGTCACCATACTCGCGTTTCCGCTTCTCAAGCGAGAAATGGAGGGAAGGACAGGGGGACAAACCTCCTCATGAGTCTCATCAAGGGTACAAACACAAACACCGTCTACCCGACTCATGACTAGCCCCTTGTGCTCTCCGACGAGCTCCGTCCACGAAGCAAACACTAGCTCACCAGAGATGTTATACTCCTGAACAAGCATCCTCCGCTTATACCCATCCGGCTCCGCAACGCCAACAACTGTTCCGTTTGTGGCCGTAGCGATCGACCTTGCATAGGCGCGCCCCCGTGATCCAGCTCCAATTATCAAGATTCGCGGGCTATTCTCCGGTTTCGGGGGAGTAGCCCCAAGTATTGCGCTGAAGGAACTAGTTTCGTAAGGGGGGGGTGGGGTGTCTTTTCCATAGAACAACTTTTTGATAGTAGTTGCCATTACACCCGTTGTGAACGCCAGAAAGAGGGAATAGGGACTTGATGGAGCGTCTAGTATTCGGTGGGTGGTGAAGTGGAGAAGAGACAGCGGTAGACTAATAGCTGGTTGCTAGCTGGTTGTTTCCATTTTGCGGCGTGCGGCTCAAGGTCTATCGCCGAGGAGGAGCAAGTACAGTCGTGTCCGTTTAATAATCATACCCCTGTGCGGCAACCACGCAACACCATCACCCCCTCATCCCACCGGTGACTATGGTTCCCCCTCACTCTACCCAAGCAAAAGAAGATTAGAATAAGGAAATTTATGCCCTGTATAAGCATACAGATATGGGGTATAATAAAATAGTGAAGGCTATTGGGGTCTAGAAGGCTACTGTTCAAAAGGTAGTCACTAGAGCCAAGACAAGAGGTGGAAATACCCATTATGCTTCCAAGCAAGGCCAACCCACCAAGATTACCAATGCCAAAAGAAGAGCAGTAGAGGCTATTATTGATGCCGAGCCTCATTTAGTGCTACATGAAATTACCCAAAAGGCAGATATTAGTCTTGGCAAGACCACTATTGACAAGATCATTTCAGAAGCTGGTTTTAAGCTTCGGATACCAAGAAAAAAGCCTTTTTGGAGGAAAGGACAGAAGGAGAAGAGAAAAGAGTTTGCTAGGAGAATGAGGAACTGGAGAGGGGCATGGAATTGGGTGGTTATTTTTTGTTGATGAAGCCACTATCATCTATGATCCAAATCCTATCGGAAGAAAGGTCAGGGTAAGAGCTGGTGAAGAGCTGGAAGAAAAAAACTTGAAGCTGAGCTTTAAGTCAGGAAGGACTAGCATTGGTGTCTATGCTGCAATAATGAAAAGTGGGGGAACAGAGTTAATTGTAGTGGGAAAGAGAAGGGAGAAACAAAAGGCAAGTAAAAGAGACTGACTTGGCCTCAATTCCTACCAATATGTAACTGAGATCCACCAGCCATACCTTATCCCTTTTATAGAAGGTCTGGATAGACCTTCTGATAACATCTACCTAGCTGCAGACAATGCTTCCTGGAATGGTGGTGAGGAAAATCGTAAATTGCAGGCAGAGTGTTGTTACAAAAAACTCTCTTGGCCACCCAACTCTCCAGATCTCAATCCTATTGAGATCACTTAGGCACTACTCAAAAGCGCCTTCAGAAAGCGATTCTCCAGATTGGAAAGAAGGCTCCATAGTACTGCTGAATTATTTTGGACAGCAATGGCTGAGTGGGATTTGATTCCTAAGAGACATTTGATGCTTGGATAGAAAGAATGCCTGAGAGAATTCAGGCTGTTTTGAATGCAGATAGAGGTCATACAAAATAGTAATTGGATTTCTTTGAAGGTTAAGTTAGGTACTTTTATCTATTCTTTAATTGGCTTTATATCTTGATTTTTTGTATAGTTGAATTCATTAAGTGTTGTGGTTGGAGTTGCTAGGCAGGGGTATAATTATTAAATAGACATGACTTGACTTAAGTAGAGTTGTAGTGCCAATGTTGTCGCTAGTCGCCGCAACTCCAGCTCATAGTTGCTAGCTTGCTAGTAACTACTCAAGTATGGACACTTTTCCAAAGTCTCGTACCAGTCAGTCTGCAGTAAAGTACAAGGCAGTCCCCAATATTCGCCAATATCTTCC